TAGGAAGGTCTTTCTGATATAGCTTCACAATCTAGGAGTGGGTCCCGTAATTTAAAGTTCCCCAAGTCAGCTGTGCTCTTTAAGGACTTTAAATTATCATTATCATTTTTGAAAATTGTATTTCATTGTAGAAACGTCTAATTCTGGAAGTTGTTAAAAACTAACACCGCATCTGGGGCCAATTCAACAAGAATTTGTTAGGTGCCTGTGGGGTACCACACTGTGGTCCAGACCCTGGGGATATAAAGCAGACATGGCTCTTGTCTTTAGAGAATGCACCCTTTAATCAGGGAGGCAGATATACAGACAGCAAAATATAATACCAGATAACCAGGGCTATAAAACAGATGGCAAGTGTGGCGTGAGAAACGGATAGACCAACAGAAGCGTCACAGGCTGGTCAGGCAAGGAGTTAGGGAGGAGATGAGGATAAAGCTGGATTTTGAAGGATGGGTAGATGGTTGACAGGGAGAAGTGGGGAGGGAAGGCCATTCTGGGGAGAAGAAAAGGTGGCATCCTATGCAGTAAATATTGAGATTTCTTAGGCAATATGAGTGTGTGGTTTTGGCTGGGGTGTGAGGCTGGAGGGAAGGGGGACTGTCAGGGCAACTAAGGGGCAAAGAGTAGAGAGATGATGAGCCACGGTAAGACATTTTACCTGAATGCTTAGGATTTTAAAGGAGGAAAGTGTTATGGCTGTTTTCTGGAGTGAATTCTGGTAAGAACTTGGGGCATGCATTGAAGGGAAGATGGGAGGGCAGACCTAGTCAGAGAAATCATTTGTTAGACTGTTGTAATCCCAAATGAGAAATTATAAGTTCGCATGTGGCCCTGACATATAGGCTTTGAATAAATATTCTGGCAAAGCATGTTTTCCTCTTTAAAAAATATTTTTGGAGTGTTACTCTTAATAATGTTTGATTTCTGTATTCTTGAGATGTCTTAAGACCAAGATGAGCAAACAACATGTACGTAACACAGCTCCTCAAGGATAATTATCTGGAGGCTCTAACATCTTGAATTTATTTTTCTCCTAATTTTAACTGGAAATATTCTCATGACTGTAGAAAAATAAATGTATGGATAGAGTCACCCTTCCAGCAACTTAAATTTTGAATCATCCAAAGAATATAATGTTTTATTCGTTGTGACATTTCATGTACAACTGGAAAAGGAGGACCTGGTGCATTTTTATTTTTTTTAAAGTAGGCTGAGGATAAGCTGGGAACTGAGGTATGGATTCTTTTCTCATGATCAACATTCACTGGAGCTGTGGCAGCAGGTCAATGTTTTTAACCTCACTATGGCTTCTAGTTATTTGAGCCCTTCATTTCTTACCAATTCAACTATGATTATTATTTTTCTATATCCAGTATAGATCTCCTGGTCCTTCAATGCGACCACTTTTTTGCAACACTGGTCTTCATTCTTGTGACCTCAAAACTGCCACACACAGAATTATAGAGTTCCAAAGTACGTTCTCTGCTCGATTTCTATCCTCACAAATCAAACCTTATTTCAACATTCACGTGGACTTTCTTCCATTCTTTTAGTCTCAGGGAATTTGCTCCAAAGCTAACCACTCTGTTTTCCATAATCCTTCCCCTCTCTTCTTTTCATAACTTATGATCCATCAGTTATTCATTTGTTTTTCTTATCTTTGTGTCAATTAAGAGAGACTAGGTTGTGACGTGGTAGCAAAACACCTCAACCTATCATTGGTTTAGAACCAAAAAAATTGTTTTGGTTCCCAACCAATGCCCATTTCAGACCAGCAGGGCTACTGCTCAAGCTGCGGTTCCTCTGGCTTTAAGCCTCAGAGTTACAGATCAGCTGCCATCTGAAACATTGCCTGCCATCAGGGGAGAGGGAAACAGAAGCTGGCAAAGCCACGTTGGTCCTTAAAGCTTAAGCCTGGAGGGAATAAACATCACTTCTGCGTACATGACTAGAACCCAGGGCAAGTCACAAAGACAAGGCTACCCTCAAAGGGTAGTTCACCTGATTGGGGAGGGGAAGACAATTAGAAGTTATCTTAAAACCTTTGCTTTACCTGTCAATTCTAGATTCCTAATGGTTTTCAAATCTATCATTTTCCTGACGTTGACCGGAAGGTATTTTTCCCCATCCTCATACGTCTCCCTCTGGACTTGCTTATACTCCCCTAAGTGACCTCACTGCTTTTCTGTTTCCACAATACTGCGATGATGATATGTCACTTGCTTGCTGGAAAAATTAATGGCTCTCACCACCTGAATAAAACTGAAACATGTTATGATGATCAACAAGACCGATTATAATCTGGCCTCTTCCTGCCTTTGACTGTGATTCCCATAAGCACACTCCTTACTAGCTAACCTAACTGTTTGAGTCTCTGGATACACAATGTTCCTCTTTACCTTTGTTTATCCTGGATTTTTGTTGTTGTTGTTTGCTTCTTGGTTTGTGGTTTTTTTTTTTTTTTAATTTGCATGGAACACTGATATGTTATCTTCTTATTTCCTGTTTCTTTCTCTGTCTTCAAATGTGACACTACTTATTAATACTGTATTGTTATTGTGGATTTTTCCCGGAATGTGCATTCTTAGAAGGCGGGGACTGTTTTCTTTAGCTATGAATCTCTAGCACCAACACAGAGCTTGGCACTCCATAGTGTTTAGTATTTTGTGACAAATAATTGATAGCCGATGGTTTATGGAATGAGTGGAAATCTTCGAGGAGACTATCCTTTCAGAGACAACGCAGGCAAAGGCCTGGAAGTAAGTTTGGAGGACAGCACACATCTCACTTTTGTGGAACCCGAAAGTGTGGTTTGGGTTGTTGCTGAAATTGAGATGAAGGGTACCTTATGTAGCTTTCTAAGAAGTTTGGATTTCATGCTGTAGAGAATAGAGAGCCCTTGATGACTTTAAGCAAGTACGTGGCATAATCTGTGGACTACCAGATTTGAATTTCTATAGGTGGCTCTCATGGAGGATGGGAGGTGATGGTTAAAGGAACCGATGGGAGGTATGCTCTCCTGGTACAGTAATTCCAGAGAAAGGTGATCAAGGCTTGAGCTAAGGCAATGGCAATAGCATTGGGAAAGGGAACTGAAAGAACGATGTGAACTTTCCCCCTTATGATTGATTGGTTGTGAAGGGAGAAATGAAACAAAGGCACCATTTACCAAGAGTGAAGTAGGAGGTTTGGGGGCCAAAAATTATCTGTTCGGTTTTACATGATCAATTTGAAGGTCTCAACATTTGCAGCCATTTGTGCCAGGCCTCTTCATTTCTAAAAGGTTCTTTGATTCCAAACATGTGGTCATTTATAGTGAATAGAATTCAGGACAGGAGCCATACGTCTTCCTGTTCATTAAACCCCACCTCTGTAAGGAAGAACCAGTCAATTTCATCAATTATGTTTTCATAGCTGCAGCATGAGAATTGATGTTTGTTCATGCATTCCAGTTAGTGGAACACAGCCATCAAGGAGAGACTTATTTTCTAGAAGAGGAAATCGATAAAATATAGATAAGCATTTAATTGTGCTAGTGAGAAAATAAAGCATCATCTTTTTTTTTGATTGAGCATGGGTTAGAGATTTGTGCTTCCTGCAACCATTTTATTATCACTTGTCCGGTCAAACTTTGGTAAAAATTTGATTAAATACTCACCAGCCACTTGCCATGGGAACTTCTGATCTTCTCTGTGGTTGCAGATCTTACATATTTGAAAGTTATATTTATCCTTCCAACAGAGTAGTGGTTATTTACAACTCCAGCAGTTTCTACAGTTCTTTGAAAACCAATAAGAGAGAGAATTACAAGTTGAAATGGTTGAGCATTAGTGCTGTCAAAATTAGATTTAATTTTTAAAAATTGTTTATTCCAGCTATAATTTATAGACACCCCTGCTCTTTAATTTCATTTTTAAAGAAATCATTTTAAAGGTATCAATGGAGAATGCAGTTTCATAATTGCTATATTTAAATTACTCATCCCACGAATTTCTGACGTTTGCTTTTCTGCCAACGTTTCCATCTCCTCTCCCTGCCTTTTAGTCCAGAGGGGGCATTTCCTCTGGATCAGGCTAGTGGCTTTTCTTTTCTTTTCCGCCAAAACAACTGTTTATGTTTAAAAGTTCAGAGCTAAAGTCTTAAGGACTTGGTCTTTTGAAATGCTAAAACTCAAGTTCTTGAGACCTCAAAACCTTGGTTTTAAAACTCCAAAGTCTTGGATTTCTAAATTGAAAAACTGCTTTTTTGTTGAATTTTCCCTTTCCATAATTGATGGTGAAAGGGGAAATATTGGGTTGGCCAAAAAGTTCGTTCAGGTTTTACAGGAAAAATCCAAACGATCTTTTTGGCCAACCCAATAGTATGAGAGGGAAAAAAACTTAATAAATGTATTAAATATTACTCCCTCCAATAACTTTTATTTTCATGCTTCTGAAGTGTGTTACATACCTGGGCTCTCTCATATTTAGTAAAGACATATTAGTTGATGTTCTTAGACCCCAAAGAGAAGACCCACATGGGAAAATCACCGAAGTCTACTAAACTTTTAATCAGTGAGCAATCAGTCAGCTTGTTATAAGCCTCTGATATTTCTATATGGAAAAGAAATTAGTTAATATCACTGTGGTTTAGATGCCAGTAGCTAGTGAGGGCTTTTAGGGAAGCTGAAGTGGTGTTGTGTGTGTGTGTGTGTGTGTGTGTGTGTGTGTGTGTGTGTGTGTGTGTATGTGTGTATGCATGTACTATTCACAGCTTCTTGGACCTGGAGTTATATAAAGTTCATACCCAGTGAAAACTTCTATGTAAAGAATAAATTTGAATACATTTTTTAAAAAATGTAGTTTTTGTCTTGTTAGAAAAGTATTGAAAATATATGAAAATAAGTAGAGAAAATTTTAAAAGTTACATTCTAAACATTATGCATAACAAATTATCCTATTTATATTGGCATTTATTATGGATTTTTGGGTTTAATTGTTTTCTTTGTTTTTTCCATTCAGAGAATTTATCAACAGCCTTCGACTGTACAGGACATTCTACGGAGGCCTGGCTGATCAACTTTGTGCTAATGAATTAGCGGCTGGTGATGGACTGCCATGCTGGAACGGAGAAGATATAGTAAAAAGGTATTTTATGTGTAGTGGTCTGTGAAAACATAATGGCCACTTTCATCATTGCCTTCTTTTCCTAGTTCTTGAATGCATTACTTCAGTTTTAACTTTGCCACACAGGTTAGAGGATACATTAATTCCTTCTCTTTAGTTTGTCAAAAATAAGTTTGATTCTTTTTGACATTTTAGAAATATGATAGCATTCTGTGGTGTTCTGAAAGTTCTCTCGTCTTTTCTATCTGTGGCTTACCCAACAATCCCACTTTTTCAGTGAAGTATTACTTAACTTCTAGCCAATCTGTCTTGTTTCTCAGATATCTTTTTTTTTTAACTTTATGAGTATTAGAAAGGAAATTCGGTGAAATGTGAATACCTGTGCAAAGATTTGTTATGTGGATATATGTCACAGCAGCATTAATACGTTCATCCTACAATTGTCTCTGAGTGTATGAGTGTGTGTGAGAGAGGGAGAGAGGGAGAGGGAAACAGGGCTGGTACTTTCATGTATGTCTGTTTGAGGCATTGTTTATTTGTATGTTGTCAATTGTTCTCAAGCTCAGGAGTGAAATTTTTCACCTTTTTTTCTCACCATCTAGAATTTCTAGAGTTTATTTTCCTTCACTTCCTATAACTGGTTGTGCTCACAAGTAATTACCTGAGCTTGAAAAAGTCCTAGATTCTCCCTCTGTTACAATAGTGTTGGTCAGTACAATTGGCCGGGAATTAGTCCTTTGATTTTCCAATGCTGGTGATTTCCATAGATTGTAGACCTGTGCTGTGCTTGGATTAGTATGTTTTAGTGTATTTTACTTTGAGCAATCTGCTAAAAGGTAAGATGATAAACTTTCTGATTTATAAACACACCTACTCTGTATAAAGATAGGTAGTTTAGTTACCACTAGAATGATGAGTTCATTTAAAGTGTCCTTTAGCAAATTCAATTTACTATGATAAACATATACTGTAATTAATATTAATATAAATTTATGTAGTAAAATCTGTTTATTTCTGTGTGATCATATTCATTATAGTTAAAGGTTGCATTCCTGATATATTAAATGATTACTTGTAGTTTACATCCAAATATCTCATAGGGAATCTTTGATTTCACAGAAAATAGTTATTGAAGGCAGGAACTATACTTAAATTGAAATAAAAAATTTGGCTGACATGGCTAGTGTTCTTTTTCCATTATGCCCCTTGGATGCCGAAATGTATTCTTAGATATATTTGTCTTGCCTTTACTGAGAGCAGTCATAGCATGCATAGTATTTTGAATTCTTACAGTATTCATGTTAATAAGATTTCTGCCACTTAGACCTAGTAATTAAATTCTACTTTGACTTATACTTTCTCTTTTCACATTGTTCAAACTGGAATTGAACATTTTTGTGTATTAACAATTTTTCTACAAGGGCTAATGAGAATTTCATGATTAATGAACAATTTAGTATAGAATATAAATATATTTAATATATCACATTACATTATACATTTGATTCTAGAACTGCAGGAACCTTAGTTTCAATTTGTCCCATTCCTCTCTATTTGGTCTGAGGTTTGTATAATAGGAAATACTGTTGGAGAAATCAATGATTTGGGAAAACTTTTTAGAAGGAGAGTATTTTCAACTCAAAAATATATTTTCTTCTACATGATACATATTTTAAGACCTCATTCATGGTTTATGAATAAAGAAAGTTCATCTTTAGCAAGAACCCTCCTTGGGAAGTGTCCACATTTCTGGTAAAGAAAGTGAGCAATTCTCATTATTCTCACTTGCTTCCAGCTCCTGTCTTCCCTTTTCTATACCACCCAGCCTCCTGTTTGTCAGCTGCTTCTAAGGGCCCTATGTGACTTCACTCTCCTGTGAACACCTTCCGCTTTGCTTAATTTTTTCTCAAACAGCCCTTCTAGCTCATCACCTTAGCTGACATTTTCCCTTTTTTTGAGGGTGGTTTTTTTTCCTCCTCTTTTGTCCCTATCTCATGGGTCACCAACCTACTCCCTTGCTTCTCCTTCTCTGGGCCAGCAGATGAACCTCACACACTGGCTCCCTACCACCATCTCTAGGCTACTTCCCAAATGAACATTTTTAGCCCTAATTACTTTCTAGCACTCAGCTGAGGTTTCACAAGAATCATCTCATTGAACTTTCCCAAAACTTTATTCCCTAATGCTTCAGAGTAAGCTGATGGGGTATTTCTTTTCTGTTTGATCTTGAGAAAACTCTCATGTGTACTTTGACATTTTTTAAAATATAATTTAAATTGTAATTTCATTCATGGCTCAGCCAGTTCTTGAAATAAATTTAAAACAGGATTTTTTTTCAATGCAAAGTCAATGCTGAAATATAAATATCCATCATATCTAGTTAACTGATCATGGTATATTGGCAATGGAATATTACGTGGCAGTCAAAAATGATGCATATTTATATCTGCTAAAGTGGAATAATTTCAAGTAAAAATAGATACAGAAAGAGAACACATGTATGGATATCAAGGGGGGTGGGATGAATTGGGAGATTGGGATTGACATATATACACTACTATGTATAAAATAGATAACTAATGAGAACCTACTGTATAGCACAAGGAACTCTACTCGGTGCTCTGTGGTGACCTAAATGGGAAGGAAATCCCAAAAAAGAGGGGATATATGTCTATGCATGGCTGATTCACTTTGCGGTATGGCAGAAACTGATACAGCAGTGTAAAGCAGCTATACTCCAATAAAAAAGTTAAAAGTTGGATATTAAATATTTTTTAGATGTTGGGGGTAGGAGTTTATTAATTTTATTTATTTATTTTTGCTGTGTTGGGTCTACGTTTCTGTGTGAGGGCTTTCTCTAATTGTGGCAAGCGGGGGCCACTCTTCATCACGGTGTGCGGGCCTCTCACTATTGCGGCCTCTCTTGTTGCGGAGCACAGGCTCCAGACGCGCAGGCTCAGTAGTTGTGGTTCACGGGCCTAGTTACTCCATGGCATATGGGATCCTCCCAGACCAGGGATCGAACCCGTGTCACCTGCATTAGCAGGCAGATTCTCAACCACTGTGCCACAAGAGAAGCCTGGATATTAAATATTTTATCAACAGATTTGCATAAATAAAAGTACTGACAGTCATTCCACATAGAATATTTCTGGACAGTTAACATGAAAACTGCTAATATATTTAAAATACTGGGGAGGCTTTATATTTCCATTATATTTATATTTAATGGAAACAGATGTTATAGTGATGTTAGAATTATGAGCCATTATTGCTTTTTTCATTTTATAATTCTTTTTTGAAATAAAAGCACTACTTTTACATTTCATTTCTAACCAAATTGGATTATTGTAGCAATTTTGTGATATAATTTTTTCAAAGCATTAATGGATATGTTTCAAAAATTCAGTAGTTCAGTAATCTGAGATGGCTTCGATGTAAAGGCAAGTTCTAATGAATGTTACAATCCCGAACTATTAGCTGCTTTTTCCTTGCGAATAAACAGTATAGCAGCGATCAGTGTGTGAAAATGCTAAGATCTCCATATAGAATATTCATTTCAGAGACCTGCAGTTGGTTGAGATAAATAATGCCTTCAAATTTTGAAGAAATGAATATCAAGTGAATTTGTACCACATGTGGGGATCATAGGGGTTTTTTCCTTTCTTGTGCTGGGTTATAATACTCATCAAGTTCATTCTAGAGAAATTACACCAAACACATCAATAGGATAAATTTGTGGCCAAGATTGAGCATATCATTCATTGTTAAGAATGGAGTGATTATTTTGGCAAGATTTCTCCTCCTGGAGGCATTTTTTAGGAGATGATTGGTCAGATTATTTATGTGCACAGACGTGCTGCCTCAAAGAACAGGAGAACCATACAAATTGTTTCAGAATTATGGCAGGCCTATAAATTGGGTCAAATCACCTTTGTGCTCATCAAAAGAGGTGGAATTCCTCTGTGGTTGTAAATGAAATATCTCAAATAGTTGTAGCATATTAATTCATGAAACAAAATCTATTTTAATTCAAATGATTTTAAAGAGTGCATGCATACCATATATACTATTATAACACCGAGGTCCACAGTTCAGATGATTTCTGATTAACGATGAAAATTTACTACTGAAATCCACATAGTCTCTAACTCTTAAAGTCCCTCTTATCTACCCTTCCTGTCTCTTCATCGGGAAACAAAATTGTTCTCTGAAAGGCCTGCCAGTGCTTACTCTGTTCTCAGTTCCTTGTGATTGCAAATTGATTGTTTGATGGCTTGCACTTGTCTTTCTGAGTACAGAAGTTCAGGTGACAGCTACTTAATTACCAGGGCTTCCTTTTCCCTTTTGATTAATAGACAGATAATCCAGTAACTCTCCCTCCATCTCCAGGAATTTATAACTTCCGCAACAACCCTTAAACTAGCCAATAGCTGTTAAGTATCCCCGTAAAATTAATAATCCACGTGATTTCTACTTCATCTTATGTAGCTAATGTTCTTTAATGCTTCTTTCCTATCCCAGTGTTTTCTTTTTGAACTCTTACGATAAGGTGCCCCTTCTCAACATATTAGAATCAAAATTTTAAAAAATAGATAAAAATATAAAACCTTAAAAATCTGAGATTTTATACTTATCTATTATCAGTTTTCTTTCCACCCAGACAATGACAATGACATTTTTTCTGGCCATAACTTTTTTTTACCTCTATTTTTTTTTCTCCTTTACCCATTATTTATCTGGAAAGACACTTCATCTTCAAATTTTCTTTTTCTTCCTGACCTTCCTACGTATATTTTTTTTAAACACCTGGCTTAGTTTTCAAATATCACGGACTCCATTTTAATCCCAGCCAGGTCTCAGGATTGCTCTGAATTTTATTACTGTACAACTGCTTGTTTTTCCTATGTTGCTTATGCAAAGGCAGTATGTTCTTCATGACTTGAACACCAGTCTGTTTTCTATTTTTTTTTCCCCTCACAATTTCTACCTCTGCAATCAGGTTTATAATACTGAATTAA